TTTAATTTCAAAGTAGTTTATTTTATTTTACAAAGAAATAAGTTGGTACAACTGGAACGCATAGCAGGATATATTTAAAATTTGATTGACAAGATGACAAGTGATTACTTCAAAATATTGTGAAAAAACTGTATAAAACTGAAAAATGTAATCGAGTTATTTTATTTAATAAAAACGGTATGTGTTAATACAAAACAAACAAGAACAAGACACTACATACCAAAAAATATAAAAAGAACTATTATTTACTTTCAAGCTTTATGAAACTACCCGCATTTATGATTATATTTATCAATATAACTTATGTACAAATACAAATTTGTAATATTCCACAGGAATAAATAAAACAACATAGGTAAATAAAAGAAACTATTTTATTAATAATAACACCTACCAAATTTTATACCTTAAAGGTTGATTAATTAACTTTAATCTTAATTTTTTTAAACCAGTACCTTTTGACATTATTTTTCTGCAGTGATCCATTATTTTTTGATCCTTCTACCATATACGAGATGCACTTATCTACGACGAAATGGTATACAAACTTTATCGATGGCAACTTCATTGGTGTATAAGACTTTCTGCCTGGGCAGCGAGTATTAACCATAAACTGTGCTCTGGGTCTACAGTTAATTTCAAAAGACACAAAACACACGTAATAATACGAATCAAAATGCATCATCTTCAAAAACGCAGGGTATTTAACAAAAGTTGACACAAAATTATAACCTATAATTTGGCAAGACTTTGACAAGCGTCAAAAATGACAAAAATCTAAAGGCGAGTTCATACGCATCGGCGTCCGTTTGTCGTTCATCGTTCCGTCAAACCAATAACATTGAAATACGATCTGTCATTTTTTAAATAAACCAATAAAACTGGTTAAAAACAACAAGACACGACGCATGACGGATTTATATTTAAACCCATCCATAGATAACTTAAAAATTATTAGAAACTTTTTTTAGTAAAATAAATAGATTGGTATGGGACGTCATCTGCTTTTCTTCTGTCATCGTCTGTCGAAATCTTACCTGAGAAAAAAAAACAGAGTATAGCCTAGGCTTATTAAGGAGCGCGGAGCGCCGAACGGTTAGCTTGTACGCCAGAGCGTGCGTCTGCCTATGCTAGAGCAGGCTAGAGCGCGCGCCTTCTTTTTCCGACGGGTGTCGGTAAATCAAAAGGAGCGAACGGCGTGCATTTCGGCGGACATTGTACCGGACACTTGGAAGGGTCTCATTTAATTTCGGGCGTCTATCTGTGATTTTTATTTTCCACCAAGTATTCGACAATGGGAGATGCAGTTATTGACTGGGATCGTGAAAAACATTTACAACTAATTTGTTTACACAAAGAAAAGATTTTATAATTTTATTGTGGGTTGAGTGCGAATAGCTATGTAGCTAGACTTCGTCCATATAATTTCATTTTTGTTAATAAAGACCTTTATGATTATTTTTATCAAAAACCGGAATTATTATGGGATTCTGAAATTAAAAATTACTACTTAATAGGAAGTTTGACACCGGAAATGAAATTTTACCATTACATTTTTAGAAATAAATATACCGGGTGTTTCTGAAAAGTGGTTCACTTCCATAACTTTTTTAATTTTTTAGATAAAAAACGAGAGTTGGTATGTAGGACATAAATCAGGATTGATGGACGTTTTCATTTATTTTCGGTCACTACCTATTTCACCGGAAATGAAAACAACTTTTGATTTAAATGGTACCCTCGGTATTTTTTTACCGTATATGATAGAAAATTATATTCTAAATAGAATGATATATTATATGCCAACTTTTGACATTTTCAATTTAAAAATGGCCATAAATAAACGTAACGACAATTTTACTCCAAATACCAAGTATGTGGTACCAAATTATTGGTAAAAAATGCTTTTTTCAAATATGCTGGGCCAGCCTCGTACCATTTGAAAAATTTGAGTTATCATTAAAAATACGATTTGGGCATCTTTTAAGCGGCCATGAAAGGATACGAAAAAGAATTACACGATCAAATATATGTTTCCAAAGTGCTTTGATTACAAATTAATAGTTTTAACTCAGTCTTGGCACTCTAGATTGAAATTTAAAATGCTATTTTTATTTAATTGGAATTGTCTAAAATTGACGTATGGTATGTCATTCTATTCAGAATGTCATTTTCTATCAAATAAAATAAAAAAGTACTTAAGATACAATCTAAAAATACAAAGTTGTAGTCATTTCCGGTGAAACAGGAAGCGACCGAAGGTAATTGAATACGTCAATCAATCCCGATTTATGTCATATACTAACAAACCAAATTTCGTTGAATTATCTGAAAAAATAAAAAAGTGAGCCCCTTTGAGAAACACCTGGTAGAATCGGCTGAAAATGAAAACAGGTCTTAAAAATACACTATAACGAATAATCTACCAAAAGACCCCTGTGACCCTCCGCCTGCTAAATATTGATTCTTCAACGACAAAAGTTCTTAAACTGTTTACCGGTTAATTTATTTAATAAAATGCTTGCACTCGAAATCCGGGCACTCGAAAAAACAGCGACTACCTAAACGCATCCTAGATCTATAGAGCAAACTGGATGTCGTATTCTTCCCCGCACCACAGTTTACCTAAATTTAGTTGCTTTTTTTATAAATTGGTTTGATTATTTTTTTAACCTGTTACATTTTTTGTATATTTTATTTTTGTAACTTCAAAATTAAAGACATTTGCAGTAACTTATTACATCCCCTTGTATTGACGCCACGCTACGCCGCTGCTGGTACAAACCCTGTATATCTTCAAATGAGATCTTATAATATTGCTATTTATTTCAAAAACAAAATTTTGAAATATTCATATGTAATTGGCTATAATAACTGTCTTTAAATTAATTCATCAAAAAGTTTCATAACAATTTTTTTCTTCAAACGGATTCCCATTTTTTTATCACGTTACCATTAACGATTTTTTATTTGTTTTTTTTTGTTGATAAAAATGTCAAAGTTTACAGAATTAAAAATATAATTCTGCAAACTTTGATAATGTTCCTCTAGCTAAAGTAGCCCGTTTCCTTAATTTTAAATAGTAGCCTATGATGTTAAACTTCAAACAATATAAAATAATATAAAAAATAGCAGGTTAGTCGTGACTGACTAAGTTAAGAAAAAAACTCAAAATTTAAGTGAGGATGCAATCAATAATCACCACATAGGCTAATAAAACTACTTTTTCAAATTTGTCAAGCTTTCGAAAATTTTAATCCCATCATCAGGACAGTTTGACTGAGAAAAACATCCTCTGAATTCAGTCACTGTTTGATCGAGCTCGAAATAACAATGCAGAAATTAGTTTAATAAATTTAAAAGTAATGTCGTTTGGATATGTATTTTAATATTTTATAAAGGAAATGTCCTTGTATTCCAATGTCATACGATGCTAGTTTTTAATGCCTTTTTGTGCAGAGGATTTTTTTTTGCTAATTGACTCATTCAAACTCTCCTGATGAGGGGAATAAAATTCTCGAAAGCTTGACAAATTTGAAAAAGTAGTTTTATTAGCCTATGTGGTGATACTGGTGATTATTGACTGCATCCTCACTTAAATTTTGAGTTTTTTTTCTTAAAATAATATACATATCTCGTTATATTAAATTATGATATATTTTTACAACTTTGTATAAAATCAGGTTAGACGAACATTATTTTATTATAAAATATGTCCAAAAATACTATCCTAAATGATTACCAAACTATCGAAAGTTTGAACGTTTGAAACATAGACTAAAAAGCTATTAAAAAAATAATATCCAAAAGGTTTTATTAACCACTATCTTAAATATATAAAATTTATTTAATTATCTTTCTAAAAAAAGAAACTAACAGTGGGATTCTGTAAGCTCCGTAGCAAGAAATTTCTTACTAAATCACCACAATACACCAAAACACTTTTACTTTTACACTGGACGCGCGTTTCGCTAACCATGTTAGCATCATCAGCAGATGATTATAAACTAAAATACAATCTACAATTGGAGCGTTTATATACTCGCTCAGTGGGCACCGAGTGGGCGTGGCAAGATCTAGCCAACCGAGTCAGAACCCACCGAGCGTAACAGTTAGATTTCGGCCACTAGAGTAGTACGAACAAAGACCTTGAAGGAATTGGACCGTTGTCTCTGTTCATACTATCTTTACATTTATTAATTCTGGTGCTTTCATATGCATCTAATTGCTTGTAATTTGAGACTTGTTTAAGTAATTTTAAGTTATTAAGATCTATACAATGTTCTTTATCAACAATATGTTCGGCAACGCAAGATTTATTAGCATTTAACAATTACTCTTCAATTACTACCTGATAACAATTACTTAATAAGGTAAAACCAAAAAGCCCCAAACTTTCTGTATGATTATTTTTAATTTTTACGTATGTTATATTTATTTATGTTATGTTCTTTAAAATCAAAGAAGCGATTGCCATACATTAATAACATCTACAGATGCATGAGCAATACATTTATTTTTATTAGATTGTATTAAGAAAGCCCCTTTTATTTTTCTTTTAGAGGCTATCGCTTATTATTTCATTATAATTTTGGCGTATTATTATTCTTTATTTTCGAGAAAATTTAGTCCAAACACAAGAAATATTTTGTTGATGTTTGACCATCAAAATCTTAAAAATAAAAAAGTTGTCTAAAAATGTGCTACAATACGGATATAGTAAAATCCTTTATCTTTAATTTCCTTCTTCATTTGTATAAAAATACCTAGCCAGTTTTACATAAAACGTTAAATGCCGAACACTTATTTTGCTACATTTTCGGACTAGTAAAATGGACTCAGTAGTTAAAGCCAGTTTCCAAGCGTAGTCATTACTCATCTTTACACTTGCGACATATGAAACCACTCCTTAATATTTCGATAAAAAATGACCCAGACTATCTAGTAGGCTAGATTGACTAGGTCGTAATTCTTAGTCTTAATCGTAATTTTTAGTGAGCAAAGGTTATCATTACAAATAAGGATAACATTTGCAAAAAAACGGCTTTAAAACTTTATAAAAGTTTGCTTGTCTAAAATCATGGTCAGTTTCAAAATAATACAATGGCAACCAACAAATACCAACTACCTTCACCATATGTTACTGCCTCACCATTACAACCAACAGAAGACGAAGTTTATTATAGGTAAGAGCACTCCGTTTAATAATTATTAAAATTATGGCATAAATAAACAATAAATAAATTAAACACTTATTTTTGCTTTACTATAACTTGCATACGATGTTTCGTCCAAAATTATGTGACGCAGTATAGATTTTCTGATATTAGTTGACATTTAGTATCACATGTAACTAGATAGTCAAGAAAAATAAATGTTTTTATACTAAATCTTAAATAAGTTTAAAACGAGTTACTTTCCACTTTTTATACAGGAACTGTATTCCGGAAACTTTGGCAGCATATTCTGCAGATAAAAATAAATAAAAATGTTCGTATAGATGTATGTCCAAAAATGTTTAGTTTTGGAGATACAGGGTGTAGAAGTTTCATTTTTATTTCGATTTTTTCCAAATAATTTCTGCAGTAACGTCAATATTTGGATTAAAATTGGTGTCTGGGAGTTTTTTGACATGACAAATTTGATTTTGATGTCAGTATGACTCCTACTAGTAGAGGGCGCCACTTACTTATTTTTAACTGGTTTGAAGAGTAATAACTTTTCGTCCGTACCTGTATAAAACTAGTGAGTAAAAAAATATACATTTACAACGCTTTTTACGTAAAAAAGGTCTCTTGGTTAAACATGTTGACTAAATAGTTATTAGACTGAGATCATAAATTTGAAATGTTTTTGTACCAAAAGTTCAACAAAAACTGTTTTATCATCATTTTTTTGCAGAAAAAATAGATTAATTAAAAAAAAAATTCACAAATTTATCATTTCAGTGAAATAACTATCTACTCAACGTGTTTATTTTTCGTCAATAATGGCATGTATTGAATATTTCCATTCTAAATATCTTGAGAACGGTTGCTCGTAGCGATTTTTACAAAGAGATATTTTTTACGTAAAAAATCACAGAGATGTATATTTTTTCCCTCGATAGTTTTATACAGGTACGGACAAAAAGTTATTACGCTTCAAAACAGTTAAAAAACGTGTAGGTGGCGCCCTCTACCAGTAGGAGTCATATTGACAATGTCAAAAAACTCCCAGATACCAATTTTCATCTAAATATTGACGTTACTTCAGAAATTATTTGGAAAAAATCGAAATAAAAATGAAACTTCTACACTCTGTATCTCCAAAACTAAGCATTTTAGAACATACATTTATACGAACTTTTTTGCTGTCGAAGTTTCCGGAATACAGTTCGGACCACCCTGTATAAGTAAATATTAAAAAAAAATATTCTATAGTCTTCAATCACATAAATTAAACATGTTGACTAAATAGTTATTAGACTGAGATCATAAATTTGAAATGTTTTTTTACCAAAAGTTTAACAAAAACTGTTTTACAGTTGAGGGTTGGAACCTTTGGTGTTACACAGCAAAATAAAAACACTAAATCACCACAATACACCAAAACACTTTTACTTTTACACTGGACGCGCGTTTCGCTAACCATATTAGCATCATCAGCCTTTGAATAAGAAGACTAAGGAAGGAGCATAATGCTATCCATGTATTCATGCATGGTGGGCGGAAAAAGCACCATAAAAGCTCTCTAGGGTGGGGATCCTTGACAGTTCTGTTTGACGATTCATTTGACACATTTGAATTTGATTTAAAATTTTGTGGATTTGTCAGTCTTTACGGAGCTTATTTTATGTTATTTATTATTTATTCTACTACTGATAGTTGTATAAAGGTAGTAAATCTAGATGGAAATTGTGGCAGCACTTAAATTAACACTGACACTATCGCGATTTATCGAAAAAGACTAAAATAGTTGGTTGTGTAGCGTGCGGTAGATCTCGGCAAAAATTGAGTGAAATAATGGAACAACTTTTCGCTAGTAAGTGACTCTATAATATACATACGTGTAGCAAACCGATCATTTATGAAATTCACTTAAATTAACTAAATTATATATTTTTCTTGCATTTTAGCTTTTATTTATTACTTGTCAAAGATTAGATGTCAAAGAATTTAGATACGTTAATTTGACTTACCTGCTTCAGTAGCGTATCGGATGTTTGTGGTAATAAATATTTATTATAACTTATCTATTTTTATTAGAATTATATATTTTTATAACAATTTTAATAACTACCAACATTTATTCACAACGTAAAATAAAACAACAAATTATTGAGTCTACCCCATGTCTACCCTACATCATAGTTTTACATTTTTTAAATAAAATTAGAACGACACTGATAAACCGGAATCTAAGTCGACCATATTTGAGGCCCATCGCGGTGTACCTAAGATTTTTGATATGCTACTTCCTTAGTCTTCTTATTCAAAGTCATCAGCAGATGATTATAAACTAATAACTAACAGTTTATAATCATCTGCTGATGATGCTAACATGGTTAGCGAAACGCGCGTCCAGTGTAAAAGTAAAAGTGTTTTGATGTATTGTGGTGATTTAGTGTTTTAATTTTGCAAAAACTGTTTTATCATCATTTTTTTGCAGAAAAAAATATGATTAATTTATAAAAATAAAAATTTCCCAAATTTATTATTTCAGTGAAATAGCTACTATCTACTCAACGTGCTTATTTTTCGTCAATAATGGCATGTATTGACTATTTCCATTCTAAATATCTTAAGAACGGTTGCTCGTAGCGATTTTTACAAAGAGATATTTTTTACGTAAAAAATCACAGAGACTAGAGAATCACAGTTAAAACATATGTAGGTGGCGCCCTCTACCAGTAGGAGTCATATTGACATCAAAATCAATGTCTCATGTCAAAAAGCTTCCAGACACCAATTTTCATTCTAAATATTGATGTTACTTCAGAAATTATTTGGAAAAATCGAAATAAAAATAAAATTTCTACACCCTGTATCTCCGAAACTAACATTTCAGGACCTACATTTATACGAACTTTTTTACCTATTTTTATCTGCAGAATATGCTGCCGAAGCTTCCGGAATACAATTCGGACCACCCTGTATATTAGAACATATTTTCACTTTGCCGTTTTTCCAAAAAAAAAATCTAAAATAACCGAGTTATTTTACTTTGAAAATATCCAAAAAAATTTTTTTTTGCTAAAATTTTGAGAAGCACTAAATCTTTTCTGGATTTTCTTTCTTGTAAATTTAATCTACTACCTATGCTGTCATATTATCAACAAATTATGTTTTTTAACTAAAAACTAAAAAGAATTCAAAAAATTCCAAATTTTCAAAAAAAAATTTCTCGAAAAAAAAATCGTGTTTCTAGGGTCGAAATATACTAACACTAAAAATATTTACATTCATTTAAGCTCACCCTGTATACAGCTATTAAAATAGTACAGGATCCGGCTGCAAGAATATTATGCTGATTATATTTTTAATCAAAATCAAATTTTTATGTATATTCATCAATAGGGAAATACAATTTTAACAGGGTGCCATTGCCAATCAAAAAGTCTGCAACAGGGTTGCCACGGTTCAACATTTTTCCTACTACTTAAAGCGAGTCCGGCAATAATGCGTCGGGCATCTGTAGCTCCTACATTAAAAAAATTGGGAATTTTGGATAAGTGCAAACCTAAAGTATGTACCGGGATGTATTTCAGGCAAATATTTTAACTTCTACAGGGTGGCCTAAAAAGTAGGAGTGGATCGGATCACCCTTTATATTGTTGCATTTTTTGCTTCCTTTCTGATCACTTTACATAATCCTAATATATTATTAAATATGTTTTGATAGTTACGGAAATATTAATAAATAAATAAAACAAATATTGTTTCCAGCGTTTTAAAAAAAATATTAAAAATACAAGAAATGTATTGAATCAAAACTATACTAGCTATTTACTAGATATAGTTGGTCCGTACTTACTTTGATGTAAATATCGTAATCTTACACTAAACAGGATATTCAAAATTCTAAGCCAAATTTTCTAAAATATAAAATAATTTTTCTTGCTTTTTTTAAATGGAACCGTTAAAAATTCTAAAATGCTTTAAATAAAAAAAATTATAATTTTTTAATTCTCTATCTAATAAAGAAGTAATAACAGGGTGTTCCATTTAAAAAAAAACGAATAGAGTGTAATAATCCTGCAGTTGGATCTTAGACTATAATATATTTGTAAGGCTTTTTTATATTCTTTTTTTAATCCTTATTTTAAGACATTTGGACGACTTGAAATTAGAATCACCCAAACAAAACACCAAATACGGTGTAGCTATTTTTGGCGTTGGACGTGCAGGTATGTATTATTATTTTTATTTTTTTTATAACCAACCCTTAGGCTAAAAACAAAAAAAAACATATAATAGTGAAGCATTTCACCTCACCGTGATATATGGTCACTTCATGTTCACTTCGCCATAGTTACGATAGACTTATAGTTCCAGTTTTTACTCTTAGTTTTATTTATACATAGTTTTTTTTTTATTTACAAGTAACTTTAATAATAATCAGGAAAGGAAAGTTTTTTTAATTCTTTTTGAATGAATCTGTCGACCTCTCTGACTTTGTTTTGAAAACAATTTGCCTCAATTTTTAATAGCACTAAGCGGTCCCGCCGTCTGAAGCTCTAAATGGAAAATTTCAAAGAATCCATTACAAAATACCAAGGTTCTATTTTAAAATCGTACTTACTTTTTAAAGCCTCTTAAATTTGCGTTTTCTCCAATACAGTTCCTTATAATCAACACTAGTTTTTTTGTGTTAATACATGGTGTCTACCATTTTAAAAGTTAATTAAATTTTTAAAATAAAATGAAACACCGAGTTGTTTAACTTTGAAAATCAAAAAAAATTCTTACATTTTGACAACCGCCGATATCTTTGTTAAGAAGGGCCTTAATAAGATAGTGTTGGCTTTAAAAAGACCAGTTCTGATTAGAGATGGGATTTTCTTCCGATATATCGATAAATAGTTATGAATATATCGAATAATAATAGGTGACTTTAAAATTATCGATATATCGATATGATAGGTAACAATATATCGATAAGTATCAATTTATCGATAGGTCGATAGGTCGATATATCGATAATTTTAAGATCATCTATTATTATGTGATATATTAAACTATCGATAGTTATCGATATATCGGAATTCGTATCGATTTTCCTTAAGCATTAATTATTTTTGTGGGTATATTTTTATCTATCTTTTTAGAAACCTGAAAATTAATTGAATATTTCAAAATATAAAATAGTACTGGATAATACTGAGGGAATAAGGATGATTATCGATATATCTATAATTATCGATAAACCGATAACTATACTGATATATCGATAATTATATATCGATATAATATAAAAACATATCGATAGGTAAAATCCATTATCGCCCATCCCTAGTTCTGATCATAGACGAAAATCATAAATTGCAAATTGATATTCTTAAAAGTAATGGAGTAATTTTTAGGCACAATTCATTTGAGAAACATACTTAACAATAGAAGACTGGATTTGTTGTATATCGTCGAGGATGAAGAAGACAGACTTGAGAAAATTGAAAAATATTATTGCCTTGATCCTAAAAGTGTAAGACTGATTAGTGGGAAGCAAAGTTCTTTAGTGTACAGCGATCCTAAGTAATAGATTTGTTATAATTAAAGTTAAGGAGGTACATAGAGTTAAAAAGCCAGTATATTTGGTAATTTTTGCCTCTATGGGACCTCAAGAAAAACATTATTTTACTATAACCATCCTAAATATTTTAAGAGTACGCTTTGTGGTTGTATCAACGCCTACTGATACACACGAAGCGATCATAGATCAAGCCTTGAAGCATAACAAAGCTGTGTTTTGTGAAAAACCAATCTCAAGCGATGTAGGAGTTACCGTTAAGTTGTTTGCCCTGGCTCGCCAAGTTAACCAACCCCTGTTCAGTGCTTTTAACAGGTATGATATTACCAAATTAGAGCCTTTATGTGTATGATCTCTTGAGCTGACTTACACTATATATGGACTCTTAAGAATATTTTATGAAAATAGTCTTCTATCTTAAAACATACGTTTAATATGCAAAACATGCAAAAGAGCATTTTACATATACCAGTATAAAATTATTCGTTATAGACGTTTCGACCCATCATATGCCAATATCAGGAAGAGAGTTAGAGCTGGTGAAGTGGGCAAGGTACTAACTGTCAAAGTATGCAACCGGGATGCACCCATGCCCTCATTAGAATTTTTGAAGATATCAAGTAGGTATATGTTAATAATTAAAAAAATCGATTCCCAGAATATATCGATATATGTGATACCTCCTCAATTTCAGGTGGTGTCTTCTACGATGCCTTCGTTCATGACGTCGATCTAGTCCTATATTCACTGGGGGAACTACCCGACAAGGTTGTGTCTTTTTCGCATGCCACCGTCCCTGAAATCAAGGCCCTTGGCGACTACGACAATGTTTCGGTTCTTTTGTCGTTTCCCAGTGGCACAAACGGGATAATAGATCTTTGTCGACAATGTAGCTATGGTAATGAACAACGATTGGAAGTTTTTGGTGAAAAAGGTAATCAAAAGCACACAATTTAGCCAAAGTAAAGTTTAGGAAATAGATACTTAATAACAAGGGTTGTCTTCAATGACTAAAGAATATAAGGACATGTAACGCCCAAATACGGGCTGCAGTAGAATTTGTGACCTTAGACGCCATTCTTTTGATGGCAAACAATGAGTCATCATCTGGTCACCAGCGACAATTTTAGCGATTTTTAATAGTTTGTGTGTAGTGAACTTTGTATAAACTTTATTACAATGGTGATTAGTTGTTCAGCTTTCAAGTGTAAAAGCAGCAAAGATAAGCAGCAGGAGTTACGTTTCATAGGTAAATAAACGGTCCGCTCCACCTTTTTAGCGTTTTCTTAGTTTTCTTATTGAATTCGATAATTATTTTTCTGATATTATATGTACTTGATATGTGCTATACGTCGATACTAGTTTTGTACCTTTTGTTAACATTTTAATGCGTTTTTTCGTAATTAATTAGTATGATACCACCGTATACACCATAGGCGTAGTCAAAACATTTATCAAAAAATATAAATATCTCTTCAAACAGCTAGATTAAGAAAAATATGTGCCACGGCACTGTTCGGTGACATCGTCACAATTTGCTCTCGGGTGTTATTTGTCCTTGGATTCTTTAGTCATTGGTTGTCTTTTATATTTTGCATATAGAAACATAGTATATACCTGTCAACATATATCAAATGTCAAAATTTCTTCCCAAATTCAAATTGTAAATTATATTTTCACTAATTTATTATCGATTTTTTGCAACTAAAATCCTCGATTGCAGGAATGCTTAAGGCGGAAAACAGAGCTGCATTGGGCAACGTCGAACTGTACACGTTAGAAGCTGTCAGCAAAGGTCCCATTGACTATTCATTTCCATCCAGGTATAAGGAGGCCTACGAAAGGGAATTACAGCATTTTGTAGACGTTCTTGATGGCACTGCAACGATTTTGGTTACCGAAAAAACTACAATGGCCGTTTCCAAGATAGCCACTGCCGTGGAGGAGTCCGCCAGAACAGGGAAAATCGTACAACTGAGATGGACAGCAGATGAAGCCATTGAATAAGAATTTTTTTAGAAAAATTGAATGTCTAAATAAATTTATAGAATAAAGACTGTGTTTAAAATAAATTGATAATAACCGAATTAATTAACTTAATTTTTTTTAACATTTTGAGAGCCGCCGGCAACTATCGATAATCAGCCGCAAATACCAAGCAATTACCTGGATCTCGGCTTGTTCGATGTCCAGTGTTGACACATCAACTAGAAAGATTAAAAAACGACTTGGAAAATTCAAATTAAAAGTAAAAAACTTACATAACAATAGAAAACGGGACTCCGATAAATAGCAGATCGATATAATTAGGTTGGAGCGTCGCGTCGCATCGTATCAACGATATGAAACGGACGCATGAAAATCAAGCTTAAGTGTATATCTTTAAGCAGTTTTTTAGTCCATCATATATCGTAACACAGATACACAAGGGTAAATAGATGATCCTATCTCAAGACTTGCCACATCGCCTACAAATAATTGAATCGATTTCAGTATCGATTATTTCACAAACTGCACTTTCACACGTTCTCAAATGGATAAATTCCGTAAATTGTGATGAAATAACAATCGACCAGGATCGCGTATAATCTCTTTTTTTCCTACACTCTGACATCTGTCTGTCGAGTGTGTATGCGTTTTGCTAGATCTTCTATCTATAGATTAAAAACATTTTTAATTAGGTTTAATTAATTTAATTCTTCAAATATGGAATTCTGTTTTGTTAAAGACTATACACTCACCGCTACGAAAAACGGGCACCTTAAAATTTTCATTTATTTTAGAGTTTTATATATTGTGTTCTAGGGGACCGATTTTGATGATTTTTTAAGCAATTTGTAGCTAAATTATTTGAGTTGTTAGCAGCTCTTTCTAAATTAAAAATGAAAGTTGCCATCTGTCAATTATTATCCGACAATTTAACTCGAAATAACAAATGTGTGGTATCAAATTATTCTTAAAAAAATGCCTTTTCCAAATATGTTAATGAGCCACCCTTGTTCAATTTGAAAAAATTGAGATATGATTAAAGGTACGTTTTGGGCATCTTTTATCCGGCCAGGACAAGACACGAAAAACAATAGACGATCAAATCTATTTTTAAGACTCCTTGGTTGAAAATTAGTGTTTTTAACATACCCGTGGCACTATGGATTGAAATTTAAAATACGATTTTTCTTTAAGTGAAAATGTCAAACGTTAACACGTGATATGCCATTCTATTCAGAGTGTCATTTGCCATCGAATAAAGTAATAATATACCGAGGGCTCCATTTAAAAATTAAAAGTTGTAGTAATTTCCGGTAAAACAGGATGTGATAAAAAACAATTGAATACGCCAATCAATCCTAATTTATGTCATATCACCAAATTTCGTTTTTTTATCTGAAAAAATAAAAAAGTTACAGAGGTAAGCCACTTTCGAGACGCACCCGGTATATATATTAAAATTATTGCAAAAGACATTTAAAAAAGAAAAACTTCAATCCTTGTTTATTTACAAGGCTTCAATCAAACACATTATTTTTTGCTGTAAATGTTGATAGTAATGGTTAATTATATCTTCATTCCACGCTGTATAAAAATGATAGATATCGCACCTAAATGTCAGTGGTGCGGCTGAAATTAGTTCGATCTAAATGCAAGGCGTCGTTTACGAAATTATCGCTTGCAATACCACCTGGGTAATTCTCATTAGGGACGTCCACTTAAAAAAAAATATCGATATTATCTATATCGATATTTTTTAATTTATTATAGTACTACAAATAAAGTTCCTACCTCTCATAAATATATAAAAATAACGTTAGACTCCTTCATTAGTCTATCTACTAATTTAACGATTGACGCATAACTTTTACTATCGATATTTTAAATTATCGATACTCTGACACATCCCTAGTTTTATTGGTTCTTTTTACGTAAATTTATCTACACCTTTACAAAAGGGGAACGTCGCTGCATTCGATTTTTAACCGTTTTGACATTAAATATCGTCCTTATTGCTTCATCGATTGTTGTTGGTAATCCAATGCACAATTTACGGTGCCTCGCTCTTAAGAAGCGATAGTTTCGATATAATGGAGCGGTTGCGAAATTTGATCTTCATGTTAGTTATTCAGGGCAACAAAGAATATCTCGATTTCAAAAACATAGTTGTTTTAGCGATTTTAATATTAAACATTATATTATGCTAAATATTGTGATAGAAAACCAACAGCGCTTTCATATGGAGCGGAGCGTCCGTGACCGACCGTCCGCGACGGACTGTCCGCGACTTCGAGCAAGTACCATGAGTTTATATGAACAATTTCACATGGATCGCGATATGCTCCGTCCGGATGTGCTATGTTGAAAAAACAACCGCGCGGACGGTCCGCTCCATCTGAAAGCGCTGTAAAGTTTTCCAAACTGTTAGTAATTCAGTTCTTGTTTGTGTGAATGCGCTTTGGGTTCTTTATTCTACATTATTATAATAATAGTTAATAGTTTTAGTACCTAAGTCGAAACGTATTTTTTTGGATAGAAACTAGGACAGAGCCCATATAACACTACACAATCCTATATATATCTTGAGGATATCCACCAAGGATATAGTAAATATATTAGGGATATCCAAAAACCAGAGGAGGATATTTATGGGATATCCAGATGGGACAAAAAAAGTCATCTTCAAGACATCCCTAGGCAAACCTTTTACGATTATTTGGGATATTTATAGGACAATACAAGAAAAGAAGATGATGTTGGGAGCATTATAGAATATTTTTAGGACATTATATGAGGACTGTTATTTGACAATATTTACTTCATCCTTAGTTTATAGTAAAAACGTTCGCAATTTAGTTTTATTTAGCCACACTTTGAATTTAGAAGTTTATTTGTATGACTTAAGAGCTTTCAATTTATACTGTACCATCGAAAAAAAAACGGCGTTCAGTTGGCTTGAAAATTACGATCGATGACATTCCCCATATAATTTTACATACAAAATAACAGCAATCTTCATTTCCAAGCCACCTCTGACGCCGTTTTTTTCGATCGTATGGTATTCTACCAGATTATACTACCCTTTATGGAGTCTAGCAGCAACAGTTTACATCAAAGTTAGCACACAGGGGATACAGGTATAATTTCTAACACCACACCTTCCAGAAACTCACAATTTAAACACAAAAATAGGATTTCTGTTCGAATAGATCAAACACGAAAATGGGTTCAGGGATAAAGAACAAGCGCTTTTCAACAAATTTTCACCTATAATTTTGTCACAAATTTTTCATTGTGAGACCCTGAGGGTGCAGCCACACTATCCTAAAAACGGCGTATCGGCGTAACGGGCGTAATGACCTTGAATGGATTTCCAGTAATTCTATTGGCTGAAATATTCATCTGTCAGAAATTTTATCTGTCAAATTCATCTGTCAAAAATTTTAGCTAATAGAATTACTGGAAATCGATTCAAGGTCGTTACGCCGTTACGCCGATACGCCGTTTTTAGGATAGTGTGGCTGCACCCTCAGTCGTTCGTCGTTTTTCGACATTAGTTGAGGTTAGGATAGAATTTCTGCTAGAAAAAGGCTAGAACTATGAGTATAAGAAAAAACTAAGTCAAACTCAACCAGTTTTGTTAGTTTCAGTCATTTTTAAGCCCATTCAACATCGACAAACGACCGAATTCACCTTGAATTTCACTAAATCAAAGAACTGAATAATACACGATGCAAAAACAAACTGTCGAGATGGATTGTGGGAATTTTTTTCAGCGGGCGTTTTAAATTCTCTGTATTACTGGGAGTGGCCAAGCTCATAAATATCCAGATTATCCAGAAGATACCAAGTTGCCTTGACGTAATATAGTATATCTATCTGTATGGTTTATTGCATTTTATGTAATATAAAAAGTAGAAAATTATTTATTTTTCCTAAATATCTAGACTATATTGTTAGGATATTTTATTATCATGAGCATGTTTGGATATCTCAGCTGGATGTACATTAGATATATGACAGAGGTATCCATAGGATATTCTATTCTGAGACATCTACAGGATTTCAGGATGTCTAGAGGATATCCTATAGATATCTTTATAGGATGATCCTGTAGTGGGACATTCCGACATTCAATGGATATCCTGCGGATATTGTGTGTTATATGAGATATACAGGGTGTCCCAGAAATAAGTGCAAGTATTTTAACTGATAGTACCACAGAAAAAAAGAAATGTTGAAAATTTTATATTTTTCTTGACATTTTCCGAAAAATATTGAAAACATTTTGAGTGCCGCTTATTCAGTTTCCGCAAATTTGTTTATAGTGCTTCGAGAGCATGCAATGTTGCCACCTCCTACGTTATTCATATTCTGTATGTTTATAAGTTATAAGTTCATTTTTTTTTAAATTTTGAGGTTATCCAATTCATTTGAGATTTTACTCAAAACAATAAGCCTCTGACAAAACTAAAAAAAGGCAAATGTAAGGTAAGCCTGTAAAAACACTTTTCATCGCCACATTTAAAAACCCACATCATCATTTTCAGCTTATTCAACTATTTTCAATTATGGTGTAGCCTCCCTCACATACTGTCTTTGTAGATATAATAGATATATCAATTATTTTGGTTTTTATTTACAAAAACAAGATGTGAAAAGAAAAACAGAGGAATTTAAATTCTCAAAAAATAATCCTAAATAATTCAGATGGTATACAGTACGTCTGTCCGTTCGGTAGCTACGGGGTATCCGTGAGAGGGGAAACGATATTCTCTCGATGCTTTTCGTAAAAAATTAGACGACGCGTCCCATCAATAAAAATTCGACAAATTTCCAAGTAGCCAATAAAATGAGTGGGTGGAGCGATTTGCGGTGACGTACTCGTCAAGTCGACGTATAAAATATATTGCTGTTTATTTAAATGTTTTTTGTCCGCATTCCTTTCATAGACACAGATCCAGCAGACGTACTGTATATATGCAGAGAAGACCAAGCTACTAGTAACATAGCAAGTTGCCGGACGAATTTACGTTTACCCAATTTGCGTTCGTATTCGAGATTCACTGCCGGCTAGTCGGCTGGTCAGG